TTTTACCAAATTTTTTACACCCAAACCAATACGTATAAACATGTAGTGTATTCATTTACCTTTATAAAAATGTATAACACCTTGGGTAAATCATTATATAGCCTAGCATTTAACCCTCCGAGTGTTATTTGTCGCTGCAGCGACACTGGCGAAGGCTCTATGACTGACAAAATAGGATTGAACTGGATCGAGTTAGGTATCGTTTTATTTGACAGATTCAGAGCTTTCTCCGGAGGTCTGTCTCTAAGCGCTTTTCATTTTAGTTCCGAAAATAAAATATTGTAGCAGACAGCTGACGTGCGTATTTGTAAACAGCTTGGTTAACCTCGGACCGATGACTGATGTGTTTTATTACGTTTATCATTGTTTTAGTGTTAAAAATCAAAAGTACATAGTGATATACGTGGTGCATTATAAGAAGATTGAAGTGATTTTGAAGGGCTGGTTGATGATCCTGAAGAAGTAGGTAGTGATATTGATGTAAATTATCAGCCAGATTCCTAGCTATGGTTAGGCTATGCATTCTTAGCTAAACGCTATGTACTGAAATCTGTTTTTCACTCATAACTTATTTATTTGATAACTTACCTCACTATATGATTATATATTTGTAATCCTCATAAAATTTAGAACAAAGTGGCTATTTTCAAATATTTATAGGCCTATAATTTATACAATTTCATTAAGCGCAAATTTTTTTTTTTTTTTTTTTGAAAATTTTCCAAAATATTTTTTTTTTACCTAAAAATTTTTTTTTGAACAAATGTTCCTTATGTTTTATATATAATATTGAAGCCCATGATTTTCCAAACAAAATGGTATATTGAACAGAATAATTACCATTGTTTTCAAGCTTCTCAGATCCGTTTTAATAAAACCTTGCAAATGAGCAAAAAATAGGCAGACATTAAGGCCAAAACAAGGGACACTCGGAGGGATATAGCACGGCGAACTAAGGTCCATCTCGTACAACAATCTCTGAATGTCAGAATCGTCATTTTTGGACATGATGCTAACAAAATACAGTACTTAGTATAGGCTATAACTTTTTTACAAAAGTTTTTACCCCCAAACCAATATAAACATGTTGTAGTGTATTCATTTACCTTTATAAAAATGTATAACACCTTGGGTATATAGCATGGCGAACTAAGGTCCGTCTCGTACAACAATCTCTGAATGTCAGAATTTCGTAATTTTTGGACATGATGCTAACAAAATACAACCTTTTATGAACACATGTATTTCACACAATTCAGTAAATGCATGAAGATTACTGTTATACACACACACAAACTTCACTAACACTAACACTACGAACTAATAACGTATTTAGTAATAAATCGCGGATAACACAAGAGCGAACACTCACCGGCAACAACACACAATGGCGAATACACAAGACAGCTGTAGCAGTGATGACTCGTCTTCATGTGAGCAGGCCAGCAGACGTAACCCTGAGCGCAGGGCTGCCATTCTCACAATCGATATTTCTTCCTCTTCAAAATGACATATTATATGACTAGTAATAATAACTTACACTGTATGTAATTCATATTTTCCATACCGTCACTTGACGACGGTTGGCCATTTGTTATGAATTTATAAAACAGCTGTTTTCATAAAATCGTACCGGTTGTCCAATCAATAAGTATTTAGTTATAAATATCACTACTACAATGAAGATAGCCTAAAATCAATGGCTATCCAATGGTAGGCCTACCACCCGCAACATCCCAAGACGAAAATTACCCGAGCAGGGTAAATGCCAAACAAGACGTGTTTTGCCGGTTCCCAAGTGTCGGCTGCAAGTATAACTGCAATAAGCATTTTATACTTATATTCCAACCCCGTACGAAGGACGGGTACTCTGCTAGTTATTACTATTTCTAGATTCTCCTGTTCTTTCCAAACAAAATGAATATGGGGTTGGCTAGGCTTACTTGTAGACCTACGGTTGAATTTTTAAGAATTTTCAAAAAAAGGTCTGCAAAATCGCCAAAATGGGTTACATTTCATTATTTTGACCCCCTTTAACCCTAGCAGTGGCCAACCGTCGTCTGGTTACGGTATGACGTTGATGCTTAGAATGGCCAGAGTCGTCTGGTTACGGTATGGGCCGAAATTTTTTTAACGGTAAAAAAAACACTTACAATCAACTCAGATTAGAATAATATATATACCATTCGAAAGATCACATTCTGAACTTTCATTTTATTACATAAACAAACCCTGTAGCAGGTATATAACAATGTCACGACGATTAGAAATCAAATGAAATTTTGGCGCGGTACGACATTTGCAGCCGACACTTGGGAACTGGCAAAACACGTCTTGTTTGGCATTACCCTGCTCGGGTAATTTTCGTCTTGGGATGTTGCGGGTGGTACCACGGGATAGCCATTGATTTTATCTTCATTGTGATAGTGATATTTATAACTAAATATTGATTGCACAATCGGTACGATTTTATGAAAACAGCTGTTTTTGAAATTTCTAACAAATGGCCAACAGTCGTCTGGTGACAGTATGGAAAATACGAATTATATACAGTGAAAGTTATTATTACCTAGTCATATAGTATATCATTTTGAAGAGGAAGAAATTTAGATTCAGAGAGTGGCAGCCCTGCACTAAGGGTTATTTCTGTATTCTCGCATGTAGACGACGAAGTGAGTCATTACTGCTACAGTCTGTCAGCTGTCTTGTATTGCCATTGTTTGTTTGTGTTGTTGCCGATCCGCGATTTATTACTAAATATGTTATTAGTTCGTAGTGTTAGTGTTAGTGAAGTGTTGTGTGTGTGTATAACAGTAATCTTCATGCATAAATATTACTGAATTGTGTGAAATAGTGTTCATAAAAGGAAAAGGTTGTATTTTGTTAGCATCATGTCCTAAAATGACGATTCTGACATTCAGAGATTGTTGTACCTATATAATGATATACCCAAGGTGTTATACATTTTTATAAAGGTAAATGAATACACTACAACATGTTTATAATGGTTTGGTTGGGGGTAAAAAAGTTTGTAAAAAAGTTATAGCCTATACTAAATAGGCCTACTACTGTATTTTGTTAGCATCATGTCCTATAATGACATTTCTGACATTCAGAGATTGTTGTACCTATATAATGATATACCCAAGGTGTTATACATTTTTATAAAGGTAAATAAATACACTACAACATGTTTATATTGGTTTGGGTGTAAACAATTTGGTAAAAAAATTATATAGGCTAGGCTACTAAATACTGTACACTCCATTTTCTCGAAATGCGCAAAAAATTCAAAACGTTCTCAAATTGATACATAGCCTAATCATAGGTGAAAATAACTTTTTACCATCATACTTATGACTTTTTTGGATTCCTTATTTCATTAGCTTTACAAATATGTAGGCTACATATCATCAGCCTACATAATGTTTCACAACACAAGCAAACACTGTAGGCTATAGTTTACACCTATTTGCGGTTTTGCGGTTATTGTATTATTATGTCCTTATTACGTACCTACAAAAAAATATTTCTAACATGTTATACATTTTTATGTAGGTAATTGAATACACTACAAGATTATTATGTTGGTTTGAAGTAAAAAAATTTGGTACAAAAGTTGTATACTAAGTACTGTGAATTTTTTTTCTCGAGAAATCGCTAAAATATAAAAACATTATTTTATATACGTATGTTTATAGGTAAAAAGTTATTTTTACCATAAACCTTATGACTTTTTTTGATTCCTTACTTCATTAGCTTTACAAACATGTAGGCTATATATCATTATTAGTATACACATATATTATAGAACTTTTTACAACATAAACTAACACTGTACGGTTTTCAATTTTTTCGGTTCTCCGTTTGTCATTTATATTTCGCCCCAAAAACTTATAAAAAAAAAATATTTTCCTAACATGTTATATATTTCTATGTAGGGAATTAGATTGTCTACAAAATGTATATAATGAATTTCCCATAAAAAAATCCGTAGAAAAAAAATACCAAGGCCGCTTTTGAAATTTCAAAAAAAAAAATTCATTTTTTTTTATTTTTTTCACTTTACCGATAAAATACACTGTCTAAATCATTATGATATTACTATTTCTAGATTCTCCTGTTCTTTCCGAACAAAATGAATATGAGGTTGGCTAGGTTTACTTGTACGGTTGAATTTTTACGAATTTTCAAAAAAAGGTCTGCAAAATCGCCAAAATGGGTTGGCCATTCCCCACTTCTAACATTGGCCACTGCTAGGGTTAAGTCCACAAAGTGTCAAACTATCGAGGTTCTACTGAACAAATATCCAGACTTTTTTTGTTAGGCCTAAAACTTAGGTAGGCTATAAGTTTATATTTGTTATTGTCTTATGTTATTCAAAATTACCCTAATAAATAAAAAAGTGACAACAATATAGTTACAATTGAACATCAGGTAATGGAATTAAAAGGCAAACAAAAAAGTCTTCCGAAATACAAATTAACTTATTGGCCTAGCACTTAAAGGGTTAAAATACAGTTTAAATGTTATAAGTTAATAACATTGAATACTAAACCATAGTCTCTAACTGAAAGGTAATTGGCCTGAATTATATTATTAGGCTAATAATAATTCGAATAGGCCTAGGCTACACTAATGATTTTAGTCGAATTGAGGTTAGGATATACAAGAATCGAGGACTATGGATAGATTCTTTTGACAATACCCACCCCACCCTTTGTCCCTACAAAATGACATTTAAATTTTAAATAAAATCATTTTTCACAATCTGATGAATCTAGGTCAGCCTGACAAGTGAATGAATAGACTGATAAAAGATTGGGAGATTGTTTCAAGCCGTTAATTGAAGTTTAACTGAGGGTTTACCGACAATATCAATAAATAAAATGTTACCTCTTCACCATGTTTAGCAGTTGGAAGCTGTAGCGCTATCATTATTCCGGAGCTAACTGAAATTTCAGGGTAAAGTTAGAGCTACTATTCCAACAAATACTTACATTTAAATGACCAATATATATCCAGTAACTACTTGAGCATCTAACTTGATGCACAAAAACTAACAAAAGACCATCGTTATCACTAAAAACTGAAATTAAGACCGACGTTGCTCTCTCTAAAAGACGCTAAAATCAATCATGGCAGTGTGAACTCTGGAAGGAAACTGATTACTTAAGTGGCAAATAATTAATTCTGTATGAACACAAATTGGTGTAGGACACTTAAAAACATGTGTAATTAAGTGAAACTAAAAAACCACACATTGAAGGAAGAATAAATTGACAGAAAACAGCAAACAAACTACATCATTGGCACTACTTTTTCAATTACGCTTGCGTAGCGATACTAAACAATATACGCGGAGTAATGACCTCTTTGAGAAAATAAAATTTCAACCAACTTACCAAATTTTTTAACAAAAATATTATTTCGAAATTATTAACCAGTTAAAAATTGGAAGAACATCAAATTCATTCCAGAAACATTTATTTATTTTTTAAGTGTCACATTCTCCTCAAACTACAAGCTCTATAACTTTCATTTAGCCAATGAAAACTTATCGCAACACATAACTTGAGACAAAAAAATAAAAAAACTTTAGATTTTATAGTATTTTATTTTAGATTACTGATGGTAACATTTTATTGGACACATTTTAAGATAAAAAATAAATAAATAACCAAGCTAGTTAGAAATATGGGAATAATTTTATTAAATAGCAAATTTAAAGCAGTTTTATAGGCTACAACAACTGCAAAAAATTATTTTAAAATTGTCAGCAATTAATTTAAAAAAGTGGTTTTAAAAACAAGAAGTCTGTAAAAAAACCACGTAAACTGTGAATGTGAATGTATATGTTTTCTTCTTGACTTGTGTTCTGGCAATGTCAGCTGGCCAACAATGGACCTTTCTGTACCAGCAGCTGGGAGACCTTTCTGTAGCAGCTGTCTATGAAAGTTGACCATTCAAACTGACTATTCAAACAAATAAAACTACCTTTTATAAATTATGCAAGAAAAAGCAAAGTGTGTTCTTTGGTTTTGTGAAAGCAGATCTGTAATAACTGTTTGAAAAGGGTTAGTTTCAGTTTAGTTTACTTTTAGAGTGTGGCCGTAATTTTCTGAGTAAAATTGTATAAAATATGGTGGTGGTACAGGCAACTTGAACAAACGGGAATTAAGTGACCAACATAGTCTACAAGGTCCTCCTCACCTCAGGAGAAAACAGATAATAATAATAACAGTTTAGGTGATTTTACAGATTTTTTATAGCTAATTTTTGTAATTGCTGACATTATTTTGATAATTTATTGCAGTTACTGTATAAAACTGCTTTAAATTTGCTATTTAACCCTTGAGGAGGCGCTTCCAGTACCGTACCCTAGGAGCGGGTGCATGCAGAGTTTTTTCCACAACAGTAATAGCATAAATTTTTACCCATTTAACTTGTTGTTATAACGAATATTGTATGTAAATTTTGAATAACCTAATCAGAAACCTATTTTTTTAAAATAACATATTATTCTTTTAACTTAATATGAGTAATATTTGAAATAAACATATTGAGCAATTCTCTAGTATAAAGGTATCACTGTGGGTGTTACAAGAGAGGGCACGTGCAGAGTTTTGTTCCGCAATAATGCAATTATACATAGGCCTATACATGCAAACAAAATATATTTGATATGATAAGTAATTATAAATGAAAGAATACACTTAAACATATGTTTATATTTTCGTATGTAAAATATACACAAATTGACAAGAGCGCATGAGAAAATAAACTCTACGCTACGCGATAGGGCACACAACGTAGAGAAAACCTCCACAAACTGACACCGCATCACTGAATTGCAACTGTCAACAAAATAAGGAGGAATTTGGGGGTAAAAATAGCTTAGGGGAATTCCCGGGATGAGGTGCGTGAAGTTTGGAGCCGGACAAAACTGCCGACACCCATCGTGCATAATTTATATTAACAAAAACTACCCTACATGTGCGGAGGAAAACTCTGCAAGCGCCCGCTCGAGGGTTAATGAAATATCTCCCATGTATCTAAGTTGCTTTTGGTTATTTATTAATTTAATCTTAAAGTGTGTCCAAAAATTTATGACCACCCTGTACAATTAGTTAGATCAAATTGTACTAACATGAAAGTCTTGAAAGTGGAATTTAGATTTAAAAGATTGTTACTTAGGTACGGAGTAGTATTTGCCATTTTATTTTGGAATATGAAATTATGAAAAATGTCTTTAATTTAACTTTTGGCGAACAACTAACTTTTATTCTTCAGGAAATTACACATTTTCATAATGTATGAATTTTTTAACACTTTATTTAGACTTTAGACATGTTATTTTTAGAGGAGAAACTTTAAGATTTCTACTGGCATATACACGTAAAATCCTATGTCTAATAATGACATAACTTGAGTATTCACAAACTTAACAAAAACAACATGCAAACGTGCATATGTGTCGCCAGTGCCCTATCTCCCCTTTTCTTCTTGCCCACTCTGTCCGCAGACACGCATGTCCTTGAAACCTCTTTCTTGAAGGATAGACAGGAGGCTACATATCAAATCAAATCAATCTTTAGTATAATAAACACAAATTTAGTGCATTGATAATGTCAAAAGAATTGGTGAGTCGGTGGCTCAGTTGGTAGCGTCACGGACTTCGGGCCCAAGGCAGCAATGTCGTGGGTTCGGATCCTGGTCACCGCAACTAAAATTGATCAGTACAGTTCACCTTCGTACTGTACCGGCTCACCCCTTGCTTTGCTGTATATTTTCAACACACAGATCTGTATGTGGACAGGCAAATGCAAGGTTAAAAAAAGAAAAAAAGGGCAGTGCAACATGTGATGCAGATTGTCAACCACAATTATGAATAATTTAGATGTATATCATCTTAGAGAAAAATAATTAAATATAGACCGTCAGCTGTGCTGCGGTTACCATAGGTTCTGGCGCACTCCGCTGGGAGCACTGTGTAGTTATGGCGTACACGCTAAGTAACTACACGTAGCTCCCTAGTGGTGTGCGCCAGAACCTATGGTAACCATGGTAACCGCAGCACGGCTGACAGTCTATATTTAATTCTTTTTGTCTAAGATCATATACATCTAAATTATTCATAATTGTGGTTGACAATCATGAATGCAACAGTATCACATGTTGCACTGCCCTTTTTTTTCTTTTTTTAACCTTGCATTTGCCTGTCCACATATATATATATTGATAGTACACAGGCAGCAGCCCGTCACCCAATGATGGTTTGATTGATATTGATTGATTCTGTATAGGGGCAGACCATGGTGGAAGGAAAAAAAACATAGGTGTGCTATTCCCACATATTCTGACGTCACTCGGATTGCAAACAAAAGATCACCTGATTGTAACTGTCAAATTAGTATGTATTTGTTTTGATTTGATTGTTATTGTTTTTATTTATTTATTATTTTTTTTACTGTGTTTATTTCTGGTTCAATGTAGACATTATACACAGAAGAGTTAACAAAATTAATAAGAAATTAACTATAATAACATCGTGGGTTCGCCCAAACCTGAGACACCCTGTAACATAATTAATTTAGAGAATAATTTAATCTTCTTTAGGCTTCATTCATCCAATAGATCTTGAGGGAGCCTTCGACGTAGCCTTATAATAATAAAAACAATTCATAACAAAACAAAACAAATACATAATTTGACAGTTACAATCAGGTGATCTTTTGTTTGCAATCCGAGTGACGTCAGAATATGTGGGAATAGCACACCTATGTTTTTTCCTTCCACCATGGGGGCAGACCTTGTCCTGTTGCACGTCAGCCACTGATGGGCTTTTTGTGCTCCCCACTTGGTGCGTCCTGAGACCGTCAAACCTGAGCATCACTATCTACCTGAGCAGCACTTCAGCATCCTATCTATGAGCTCCTCCTGAGGAGTATCTGCCCCAAGGATGGTATGACCCCGGAAGTCTGGGCCTGACAAAGGATCTCTTCCACACCACATGTTGTCTCCTCATCTAGCATGACCCTGATGTCCAATTCACTTGATTCATCTGTGTTAGCACAGACTCCAGCTTCCGCTTTGTATCATTATCAATTGCAGTGATAACATCTGACTGAAATGTTCCAACTCTTGTATCTAATTTTGAATGGTTTTGAGTAAGTTTTCTGATTGATAATAAAATTTTGTTTTGATTATCTGCCAAGCTAGTAGCAAATTTTTCTAAATTAGCCTGTATTTGTGCTGAAATCTTCTTTAGTAAGACACTAACCAGGTCCGCTGCTGGAAGTTGCTGTACAGCCTGCGTAGTTCCTCCTACCAGTGGTAGCCCCTTGTAGGCGTTACCATCGTCACCCCCTTCCTGAATGTCCAAACGCAGGCGGATCTCCAAGTCGCCTCCGCCTCCCGAAGCAGTTCCCAGAATGCTCCCTCCAGAACTTTCCCGTGCATTGCCGTTGTGTAACATTTCCCAGTTTTGTAATTTCTGATGGTCCTGTCTCGGTCGCCATTTGCCATCTTCAATGTATACGTGGTTTACCATTGCTAATATCACGGACGATGTCAGTAATAAAATTCAATGGCAGATCGAAGAGGATTTACTCTAAAACAATAAAATGATCTTGTTGCTTCACGAAGCAAAACAACAAACTAAAAAACATTTGACTTGATTACAAACTTGATTACATTTCTGAAACAATATTATCACATGACTGTAAATCACGACTGACCAAAAAATAAATTGCTTAACTACCTTGAACACACCAAACACCACACGTTGATATTGGTGTGGCAAAACATCGGAGTTAGAGAACTTAATCATAGACTAACCAACACAAGTAGACTTCTCATCCCATTGTAAATTTTGAAGCACGTTTTTCGTGTCTAGTTCATGTACGTGACACAAAGGCGCTAGTGTCGACGAAACTTTGTTTCTATTATTTTAGGGTTAATTTCTTGATTTGAGCTTTACTGTTTGGTTATATAACTAGGGGACAAGTTATTGTTTATGATTAGATCGTATTATTTGGTTAAACGAGGTTTTGTATGGCTGTAATAACGGGAAACAAATTGTAAACAAAACACGACCTCTACAGAAAACCGTACAGAACTAACAATAAAATTGGCTTCAGCTGTTCC